ATGGTTTAACCACAGTACACCCAGGTATCATTTGGCTGGTTGTGTGAGGCCTTGTCTATGAAGCTGTAATGTGCAGAGGGTGTGTACAGCCAACAAAGTCCTACTTTCCTTTTGAAAGTCCCCCTTGAAAGAGGCACGTGCTAAACTCTTTATATTTTCAGCATTTCAGTTGATGGGATGGCGCTGTTAGCAGCCCCACACTACAGATGACGGGATTAAGATGCGGAGGACACCTTGGGTAAATTCTTGTAAACAGCAAGCCTCAAGCAGAGCCCAGTCTGTGACTGAGTACTCTCATGGGCATGCACTGTCACTCCTGAGCTTGTGCAGGTGACAGAAATGTGGAGGGATGAGATGAAAAGGAAGTTAGTGTACGTGAAAAGACATCAGCCAATTCTCTAGCCGTCCCTGCTAGGGCTTTCCCCAGTACGAATATCCTGTTATCTTCTTTATTTATTTTGTTCTGCTATCTGTGAGCAGGGTTTGTAGGATGCTGTCCTTAGGGGTGGCCTCAACTGCTGTAGATTCTTGCTAGAACAATTGCAGGGTCAGGATGGAAAACATTTCAGGAGAGACTCATGTTGAGCCAATTAAAGCTTTTAGGTTTCACTTTGGTTTGGCAGATGTGTCTGTCAGATATCCAGGGGTGTTCTTTTCCGTGGGTTCTTTGTAAATTGAGAGGTGAAAAAGAACCCCTATTACCATCTCTACATTGGCTCCAACTTACATATGCATGTTTCAAGGACTGGCTGTGCCTGGTGCCCAAGACCAGGCTTTGTGAGGATGTGAACCGGCACAAGGGCATTCACCCTGGAGCAAGTGAAGCCAGAGGAGGCAGAGAGTGTGGGCTTCACACCCCAGCTCATCATTTAAATTACTTTGTCTGAGATGATAAATGGCCTTTTGAAATGAAAATGCCTAGCCATAATGTTATGTCAGTAATACATAAGGCTTTTAGTGAGGCCACAGTTCTCTTGGTGTTTGGTCATACATATGTAGCATTTCATTTCAAAGAGTTCCCCAATTTCCTTTTCTAGTCAAACCATTGTATCATTTTTCATGATCATATAGGAACTTACTCAAACATCTTTTTCCAGATACGTACATCTTAAGAGTTAAACAGCAGGGCAGCCGTGGTGCACACCTTTAGTCCCAGCATGTGGGAGACAGAGGCAAGAGGATGTTTGTAAGTTTGAGGCCAGCCTTGTCTACAGAGCGAGTTCCACGACAGCCAGGGCTACCAAAAAATTAAACATAATGCTAACAAATATGTAGGGTTCTAACGCGTGTTCTGGCTGGTACAGTGGTTCTTGATTTTAAAAAAATAATTTTTATTTGTGGTTCATTGTGTGGTGAGACATCAGTCCCTGGCAACATTCCCAAGATGGAATGAGGCTGTAATTTCAGCCTGTTACAAACCTATCTGCTTGCTGTTTCCCAGATTTTCATTCTTCCAAGAGTGCCCATTGGCTTCTTCCATTGTCTCCCCTAATTAACATTAACACCTTCTCTTTCTGGAAAGAATGTGTATAGAACATTGGTGTTAAAATTTGGGCATAGGGAAGGAGGGGGCAGTGGTGGGAGCTTCATAATAAAGCATGGAGTAATGTGGGCTTTAATAACTCTTAACTACATTATTATGGATAATGTATAGTTCTTAGTCTTCTACCATATCACTCTGATCTTTATGTATATCACTTTTGACAGTTACCAATATGGATGATAATAATTATGATAGAAACTGCCCCATAAATAGATGCTTAGCCACCACTTGTCCATAATAGCTGTCATGAATCAGCTCGTGTGTCATCATTTTCCCTTGGGGGATTACTGTTTTCATGAAAAGACATGCTCTTAGTGACTGCCTCCCACAAAAAGTGCATCTATTCGCTTGCCCTCTACAGTAGGAATTGTGTCTTCCGGTGTTTCTGTGAGTTTTGAGGATGCCCCAAGGAAACATTGCTGCATATATCAGCCAACAGGTTAAAAAAAGGGGTGGGGGATGCTGGGGGAGCCTGAACTGTGCACATGTCTTTTCTGAAATCTGTAGCATCCTGAGTAATACAAAATAGTATTGTCTTGTTATCAATGAAATATCTAGGAAGTCAAGACTAACAGAGTAAGAAGTGCCCTGTAGCTGAGTTCTTAGACCATACACTTCAAACCATTCCCTCTAACAGATGGAAAAATTGACATTTGTGAGACTTTGAAATAAACAGTAAGTTATTTCAAACTGTCATGTCTCCGTGTTTGTATAGTCCATTTTTTAACAGCAACAGAAACAAAGAGCAATTTTCTAAAGTAGTAACAGACACGTGCACTGGAAAGGGTTCTGCTTCCGTTTACATCGTGGCTAACCATTTCCACGAGGGTGTTGGTTGTCGTTTTACCCACGCTGAAGCATACTTGTGAGACCCCTGGCTTGGGGAGTGGAGATCAGTTAGCTAGCCATTCTCACAGCAAAGCTCTGTCCTTTCTGGCTGCGGGAGATTTGCAGGGCAATGCTCTCTGAACAGAACAAAAAACGCCAGGGCAAGTGAAGCAATCTGACCTTCTAGAGTTCTCCCAGAGAACTCTAGCGCCCTCTAGGTTGTATCATCAGCTGAGTGTGTCTGGCAAGTCTGGCTACTTCACTCGCCGTGGAGGAGCTGGGCCAGGCCGGATAACCTCCTGGTAGGGGAACTATCTGAACCAAGGAAGGAAGAATAGATCAAGTGGTTGAATAGTTGTCACAGGACAGCCTCGAGTCTGTGCATGGTTAACAGAAGCATCACACAGTCCAGCAACCTCCCTCCTCCCTCTGCTGCCGTGTGTCACCTTCCTGTTCGGAAGTCCTAGTAGGTTGCTGGGACAGAACTGGGGGCGCCTGCTCCACCCTTCAGGTATCCGGTTGGAAGGAAAGCTAGTCTCAACAACTTGATTCCCTCTCTGTTAAATGATAAGGTTAGCAGACCATCCGTCTCCAATCGCTGACCATTCCGGGCAGGGAGAGAAAGAGACACATCCAAATAGGTCCTTTTTTGTTCCAACCACAAATATATGGTTGTGTCTTCTCGTTATTGCACTTGAAAGCCTCTAACTTGAATTCCATGTTCCTTCTGGAATGCATGCCAGAGAGCTTCCCTGAGAGAACAAACCCTGTTCATGTGTTTTGAATTTTTTTTTGCTGGACTGATTTGTGGTGATAATCAGTTAAGTTACATTTCTTGTGTGTCTTGCTGGTGAAACAAGCCTAGCACGCTGATGACTGTAATTTTCTGGATGATGTTGCAACGGCAGGATAAATAGCCCAGTGTTTTGAACTTTGCAGCTTGCTCCCTTCCTGTATGTAAATTCCCTTTAGATATTAAGTAGGGCTCAGAACAGCAGAGCAACCGCAGCCTTTGGCTGGTTCGCCCTTGTCATCTGCGACTTCCAGCCTTCTCAGAGGCGCACAGCCCTGAGGCCAAGTCCACATAGTAGTCCCAGGCTTCACATCTCCAGCTTTGTGAAGAATGAAAGAGGAGGCTTTCAGATCCCCCTGGAAAGGTTGGTGGTTTGAGTAGCGCAGTTTGGATGGGATGGGGAAAGCAAAGATACCTGGGAGAAGCGTGGGGAAGCGCTGAATGTTGGGTGATGTACTAGAGAGGGTCTCTGATGGAACGCATCTTGATTTCAGATTTTAAAACAAAAAGCAATCTTTGCTGAGAACGACATTTCAGACCAAACGCTGTTTTTTGGAGGGGAAGGAACCAGGCTGGGGCCGGGGGTTGGGAGAGCGGCGGGGGGAGGGATACGGCGGGACTAGGCTAAATAAATGACTGGTGCCACGTGGTTTGTGGAGGCATTCACTGGCAATAATATTCGAGCACGGACAAGGCAGCTTGGGCTAGTTGCTGGGATTTGGAATCGCCTGTACCTTGTTTTAGGCTGGAGTGCCAGTTTCAGGCACCCTAGGTACGTTTTGAAGGACATCTGCTAAGCAAAATCTTGTCTCCAGAGAGAGAGGACGGGCGCCCCCTTCTCTGGGTCTCAGGCTGTTTGAAGTGAGCAAATCTAGCAAGCAGCCGCTGAGACTAGAGATCGCATTAGGGCGTGTGAGGTGGCTGTGGTTGTAAAACAAACTCCTGCCCAAGACGGAGGGAAAGGAGCTTCTCATGTTTTTTCTGGCTTTGACAACTGGTATTTTGGAGTGTGTCAGCTCTAAAATGCTAGGTCCGTCTCAGCAAGGGGTCATGGCAGGGCAGTCGTCGCAGACAGCACCAGCCAGCGCCAGGTACTGGCTCTGAGAGTCTTGCTTACTTGCAGTCGCCTTCCCGCCCCTGGCCCAGACCTGGCTTCCTAGCCAGCGCTGGCGCGCGTCCCCGCGTTGGCGGTCAGGCTACAGCGCCAGGCATCCCCCAGCGGCGGGGTTACTGCAAGGTACATCACTCCTTCGGCCAGCTCAGGCTACCTCCTGCAGCTTCTCTCTGTTCCCTACTTTCTGAGACAAACCTCTTCATAATCTTTAAAGAGTTAAGGGGGTTTCAGTTATGTGTGAACTTGCAAGAAAAAAGCAAGCTTATAAAATTAAGACTCCTTGGATCCGCCGTGAGGTAACTCGGAGGGTAGGGAAGATGCGGAAAAACGAACGGAATTTAAGGCAATGCAACGCGATTTTGCAGTTTTCTTGTAAGAGAGGAGCAGGTTCCCCGGCAAGGGAATCGACGCCGCAAGGGTCACTCCAGGTTGGCCCCCGGAGCGAAGCCCCTACACCCCCTAACTTGCCACCTCCTCACGTGTTCTTAGCATGGCTAGGATTAAAATCTGCAAGGCACAAAAATTATATGCGGAACGGACAGAATGTTCTCGGAGATTAGTTGAAAAAAAAAGTGAAATGAAGATTGTACTTTTTTCTTGTAGTGCAGAGACTTATTTCCGCCCCCTCCCCTACACATTCCTGACCCCCCCTCCCCCCGCTCTTTCCTTCCTTCCTTCCTCCTCTTCCAAGTTCTGGGATTTTTCAGCCTTGCTTGGTTTTGGCCAAAAGCACAAAAAAGGCGTTTTCGGAAGCGACTCGGCCATGCACAAGGGACATTTGTTTGTTTTGGGACTGGGGCAGGAAATCTTGCCGGCCTGAGTCACGGCGGCTCCTTCAAGGAAACGTCAGTGTTCGCCGGTCGCTGTCGCCCGCTGAGCGCCCCTCAGTCCGCGGCCATGGGGGAGATGCAGGGTGCGCTAGCTCGGGCTCGGCTAGAGTCGCTGCTCCGGCCCCGCCACAAAAAGCGGGCGGAGGCGCAGAAAAGGAGCGAGTCGGTCTTGCTGAGCGGACTGGGTAAGCAATGCCGTCCGGCCCGCGGGGGACTCAGCTCCGGAGGGGTATGGGTGGGTGGAGGTCAGATGGAGACGGGAGGAAGGCGCCGGACAGAAACCGGCGGGTGCAGATCGGGCACCGGATCGGGAGACCGAGGAGAGGGAGAGGTCGGTGCCGAGGCGTGCACAGCGGTGCTCCGCTCGGGAGTACTCGAGAGGAAATGGAAAATCACCAGAACTCCCCACCCCTCCAGTCCCCTCCGTCTGCCCTGGCGGAGGGAGGCCGAGTGCCCGCCCTACACCGGGGTCCTGCTAGCACAGCCGGTGGAACCCTCACCCCTGCCAGGGCGGCCAGCACAGCCCACCCAGGATCAGGCGGCCAGCCACCCGCATCCGCCCGGGTCTCGGTCAGCAGCCTGAGCGGCGGCCGGGGGCGGAGCCTAGTGATGGGAGGGGCCCAGAGCGCCGCTTCCTCATTGTTCCTCCGGCCCCGCCCCCGCGGCGGCGCAGGGTATATAAAGGCGGCCGCAGACCCGAGCGCACGGTTGGCTGAGCCGGTCTCACAGCTTCGTGTGGTCTCTTGACTCTTGGGGCGATGACTGTGAAAACCGAGGCTGCTCGAGGCACCCTCACCTACTCCAAGATGAGGGGAATGGTAGCGATTCTTATCGGTGAGTGCTGGAAAAGCACCGGACTTGTGTAGGAGACGGCGTGGAAATGTTGGAGGGTTTGAAAGGTTCAGGATCAGATTAGCGTGTGGCGTTGTACGTTACGGAGCCGCCTAAACCTTTTTTTTTCTTTTTAATTCACAGCTTTCATGAAACAGAGAAGGATGGGCCTGAACGACTTTATTCAGAAGATCGCCAACAACTCCTATGCATGCAAACAGTAAGTCTGGGGTAATTGAAGAAAATAAAAAAACATCGTTTAAATTTACCAGCGGGCAAGACTTAATTCTTACCACTTTGTTCATCGGGACAAGCCGAAGTCTTTTCTCCGGGGTAGAGATCTCTTTTGGGCTTGAGCATTTGGCTTACTTGAAACATTTTAAACATTAATATTAGTTTATAGGCCGAGCTTGCCCTGGAGATGTAAGATTAATTCTCTTGCGTGTTTATCAAATCCACGTCCTTTCTCGATGAACAAACCTTAAATTGTATATTTAACCGGGTTATTTTCTTTACCTACGTTTTTGTAACATTTGGATATTTTCGGTTTAAATGCTGAACGGTTGAGTCAGAAATTGAGCTTATGTCAGTGTGCCCTCTGGTGGCAATATCAGAGATTTTAAACCGGCCCTTTAACCTCCACAGCCCTGAAGTTCAGTCCATTTTGAAAATCTCCCAACCTCAGGAGCCCGAGCTTATGAACGCCAGCCCCTCCCCTCCGGTAAGTACTCTTATATCTACCGAGGAAAACTGTAAATGAATCTATATTTCTGTAGTGGTCAGTTAAGACAACATTTGTAAAAATTATTATGAGGGTAGGAATGTCTTCACCACATAACAAGTGTCATGAGTGTTTAAGTATTGAGTCATTGGAATGTTTTGAAAGGCGTATTTCGTAAACTTATCTGTTAGCAGTAGGCTGTGTGCAGCTTATGTACTCACAGATATTAAAGGGTGATTTTTTTTTTTTTCCTAGCCAAGTCCTTCTCAACAAATCAACCTTGGTCCGTCCTCCAATCCTCACGCTAAACCATCTGACTTTCATTTCCTGAAAGTGATCGGAAAGGGCAGTTTTGGGAAGGTAATTTCAAGTCTGAAAACTTTAAAATTACGTTCTTTTGTGTATTTTCACATTCTCCCTGGACGAGGATAGAAAAAGAACTGACGGTTTGGTTGGCATTTCAGGTTCTTCTAGCGAGACACAAGGCAGAAGAGGCCTTCTATGCAGTCAAAGTTTTACAGAAGAAAGCGATCCTGAAAAAGAAGGAGGTACGAGTGGCGCCCGATGGCATCGTGAATAATACCCTTTACCCTGTGATTTGGTGCCAAGCTGAAATTTGAATTGGTCTCTGAATCTCTTCTGTTTCCTAGGAGAAGCATATTATGTCAGAGCGGAATGTCCTACTGAAGAACGTGAAGCACCCCTTCCTGGTGGGCCTCCACTTCTCTTTCCAGACTGCCGACAAACTCTACTTTGTCCTCGACTACATCAATGGTGGAGAGGTGAGCTGAGGGAGTGAACCCCTTGATAGTGGTGGGTTTTCTCTGCTTAGCTTGCTTATTTTTGGTTTGAGATGAGCTTTAAGATACTTAGGGGTGGGCGATTACCAGAATTAGTATTTCCACGAACTTATCAATTATGCGTCAGGCTTGATTAAACGACCCCACTCAAGTCTTCCTTGTTCTGTCTCTTGCAGCTGTTCTACCATCTCCAGAGGGAACGCTGCTTCCTAGAACCTCGGGCTCGCTTCTACGCTGCTGAAATAGCAAGTGCCTTGGGCTATCTGCACTCCCTGAACATCGTTTATCGGTAAGTGGGAGGCAAAGCTGCCTTGCTGGGAAGGAGGGAGGCCTGGCTGAGCTTTTGGAGTCTTAAAATATGTGATTCTGTGCAATCTGGCCACTTGTAAAACTTCCCCAGCCTGTGAGCTAGCCAAGAGGGTGGTGCCTAATCCAGACCAGCAGAGCAAAGACTCCTTTCTCTGATTGGCTGTGGAACAGCAACGGATTAAATCCTAATACCTTTAGCAGTCTTTACAGAGGATTTGCCAGGATGCGAAATTAACCTATGCAACCATTTTTCGTGTTCCCACAGAGACCTAAAACCAGAGAATATTCTCCTGGACTCACAGGGACACATTGTCCTTACTGACTTTGGCCTCTGCAAGGAGAACATTGAACACAACGGCACAACGTCCACCTTCTGCGGCACACCTGAGGTAGGTGCTCTTGACTCGGTGCCTCGTCTACCTCCCCTTCCCAAGAGAGACATGCGCAGTAATGCTTCTAAATAAGAAAAGAGTAAACTCTTAAGCGTTTCCTTAGTACAATTCAGTACAAGCAAAATACATGTATCGTTTTTACCCTGAGGATCTCCAAGGTCTTCTATGTAAGATCCATGTCCTAAGAAATCCTCCTAGTACCACTAGGTCCTAAGTTGATCCCCAAATACACCAGTATATGCGGGGGAGGGGAGGGGGCAGTTAGCCTCGAAGAGTATAGAGATTTTAATCAGAAAGCAATCCAAAAGCTACCCAGCCTTTTCCGAGTTGTGCTTGCTGTCAGGACTGGCTGCTTTGAGGGCCACCTAACCGCTTTTCCTGCTGTGTCTCTCCAGTATCTCGCACCAGAGGTGCTCCACAAGCAGCCATACGACAGGACAGTGGACTGGTGGTGCCTTGGGGCTGTCTTGTATGAGATGCTCTATGGCCTGGTGAGTGACCTGCCGAATCATCCCCGTGACACCATGTGTGGGTTTATTTGAGTGCAGGTTTGGCTGCCATGGCTTGTCCTTATCTGTAATCTTACCAAAAGCTAATAAAGGAGACATTGGTTATTTTTTAAGTATATTTTATAAACCATGTCTTCTGGATTCTCTTCAAGAGTCTTGTTTGAATCTTAGGGCAGGCAGTGAGGGACATCCACAAATCTCTAGTGGTTTTCTTCTATGCAGTTTATTACAGAGGACCACACCTAACCTATGCAGTAGCAGCCCATGCCCCTTCAAACATACCCTCCAATAGGGGTTCTAAAAGACACCAAAAAATTATGGACATTTCAACACACAGGGAAGGGATAATTTCAGGTTCAGCTTAATGTGCTAAGTTTGACACTCTCTTGATACCTAATAAATTAGACAAAACTTCAGTTGATCCTAAAGGAATTCCCTTCTTTGTCCAGCCTCCATTTTATAGCCGGAATACAGCTGAGATGTACGACAATATTCTGAACAAGCCTCTCCAGCTGAAACCAAATATTACAAACTCAGCAAGGCACCTCCTGGAGGGCCTCCTGCAGAAGGACCGGACAAAGAGGCTGGGTGCCAAGGAAGACTTTGTAAGTACTGCTGTCCTGCTACTATGCGACCTTGGAGAGGGACACTGACCTCATGCCCTTTATTGAGTCCTGCCATCTAAATGAATCTGTTTCTTTCCTACAGTTGGAGATTAAGAATCATATTTTCTTCTCGCTAATTAACTGGGATGATCTCATTAATAAGAAGATTACACCTCCATTTAACCCAAATGTAGTGAGTATCTGTGTTTTTTTATCTAAGATTTGTGAGATGCTAGAAGTAAATAGCATAGTATCAGTAGACTCATTGCCCCCAGAGGGTGGGGGGAGGTTATTTTGTTCGAATCCCAGAAAAGATCACTAAATATGTACATTTATTAATTAAGGACATTGCCGGGCCTGGTGCTTTATACCTGTGGTGCCTTTATCTCAAAAGACTGAAGCAGGGTCACGTTTGAGTCCGGCCTAGATTACGTAGAGAGACCTTATCATCAATGATACCTACAGTGGAGGATTATAGGACTTGGGATTCCCCACCCTTTGCCCCGTGTGTTCTTTTTTGACGCTGAGTACGTTTCTTTACCCTTCCTGTAACAGAGTGGACCCAGTGACCTTCGGCACTTTGATCCCGAGTTTACTGAAGAGCCAGTCCCCAACTCCATCGGCAGGTCCCCCGACAGCATTCTCGTCACAGCCAGCGTCAAGGAAGCTGCAGAAGCCTTCCTCGGCTTCTCCTACGCGCCTCCCATGGACTCTTTCCTGTGAACACTCGGGATGGTGGTGGAGGACTTCCTGCGTGTTTCCAAATGTTTTAGGTAGCCTTTGGAGTCGCCAGCTGACAGAACATCTTACAAGAGAATTTGCACAACGGGAAGCTTGGCGCTCCCATCGCACACTGCTTGACGGAAGCTTTTTTTGAAGAGCACACCCTCCTCTCAGTGAGCTTGTGAGGTCTTCATTTTTATCCTTCCTTCCGACGTGGTGCTAGCTCCAAGGGAGCATCAGAGTGCCGCCTTAGACAGACACCTCGGTCGCGTTCGAAGGAAGTTGCAGGTCTGAGAGGGATCTCCCGCAGGTCTGTCTGAGCTGTGATTACGAATATTCTGCAATGTGCCTTTTCTGAGATCTTGTTAGCTCCAAAGCTTTTCCTATCGCAGAGTGTTCAGTTGTTGTTGTTGCTGTTTTTTTAAAAACCTCATGGATTTTCCGTGTGAAAACAGTGGTGTGCGTGTGCCATGCCTGATCGCGGACGGTCTTGTTGTAAGGATCAATGTGACACTTGCAGGACACTACAACGTGGGACATTGTTTGTTTCTTCCATATTTGGAAGATAAATTTATGTGGAGACTGTTTTTGTAAGATATAGTTAATAACTAAAATCTATTGAAACGGTCTTGCAACGATGTGCGCCCAGATGCTTCACGCAAGCATTGCTGCCACAGACATTTCTATTTTTAGAAAGGGTTTTTATGGACCAATGCCCCAGTTGTCAGTCAAAGCCCAGCGTTGGTGTTTTCATTCTTTAAAATGTCACCTGTAAAATGGGCATTATTTATGGTTTTTTTTTTTGCATTCCTGATTATTGTATGTATGGTGTAAAGAAAGTCTGTACATTGGGTTAAAACACTAGTATATTTAAACTTACAGACTTATTTGTAAACCCTCATCTTAATGTACTGTAATTAACATGGTTATAATATGTACAATTCCTCCCTGCCACACAACTTTTTTTTGTGTGCAATAAACCAATTTTGGTTTGCAATAAAATCTTGAAAAACATTTGCATAAATTGTGTCACGGGTTGCTTTGTATATTTTGATAAGCTAGGCTTGGTAGATGGGGGACAAATAATGGGTCTATTTAAAGATTTGAAAATACTTGGGTCAGTGAAGTAACACACCCCAGTCTCTAGCACTTAACAAGCCAAAAAAGAGCAAGACAGCTTGCTTCCAAAAGCATCCGCTTCTTAGTGAAGGAGGGTAGGATTTTTTTTTTTTTTTTTTTTTTGGTTTTTCGAGACAGGTTTCTCTGTAGCTTTGGAGCCTGTCCTGGAACTAGCTCTTGTAGACCAGGCTGGCCTCGAACTCACAGAGATCCACCTGCCTCTGCCTCCCGAGTGCTGGAATTAAAGGTGTGTGCCATCACTGCCCGGCGAGGGTAGGATCTTAAGGGCCCACTGCTTCCACTGAGCCTTAGGAAGTATTTTATTGAGGCTGTTTTTGTAACTTCAAGATGGAGGACTTGCTAGTTGGTGAAGCTATGGGTCGGATCTCCAGCACTCAAAACCTATATTCCATTTTCCTTTCAGAAGTATTTTGTTCTGTTAGTCATTAATCCATCCAAACAAATCCTTTCCAGTCTGCCCATCTCGTAAAGCTATAAAATATGTCCCCTGTGTTTGTTGACTGTCCTGCGAAGTCCTATGGACAGCTTGTCCTGACCTTTGGTTTATCTTGAGTGACAGGTAATTCTTTTAACCACTGAGTCTACTCAGGGCTGGGCTCCGGGAGTGCTAGAGAAACTGTTAAATGAGCAAGACAGGCCACCGCCCTCAGGCCTGATGGCTTTGTGACCAGGGTCCTGAAAGGGTGATCAGGGTGGTTCTGAGAGTGCAGAGTGCCACCAGAGGGTGATCATTTGTGTCACAGATGCCTGTGTTCCCAGCAAGCTTTCTCAGGAGCACCCAGAGCAGGCCCAGGAGAAAGGAAGGAGTTCCTGATGAAATCAGTGTGAACTAGTATCTCAGGGACCACCAGACTGGGTCTGGCCTACAAAGCCCTCCTCCAAGGTCTGCCCACTGGGAATTACACTGTTAAGGCATCATCTCAAACCCCAATCCTCTGGATTTTTTCAAAGCCTTCCACGAAAATGCCTAGCAAACCAGGAGCCCGCAGTCCTGCCGCCTCCTGTACCTTTCATTAAAGCCATCGGCGCTCTCCTTGCCCTCTCAGTTTGCATCGGTTCCCCCAGGGGGCGCTGTGACCTTTCCTCTCTTCTGACTCCCTGAAGGCCTCAGCTTGGCTCCAGTCTGCCCCCCCCCACTTCAAAGCTTATAGAGTCAGGCAGGGGTTTGACTTCACTTACCATGCTTTGTGGGGTGCCCGAAGGTGGGATTAAATTGAGAAGAGGATGCCGAGCTCACAGTGGCTACCGACTGCATTATGCAGTTGAGATACTAGGCATTAGCGTCGCATTAAATCCCCTACCAAACCAAACTACAAGAATCTAGACTGTTCTCTAGAAAAACTATGTTGTCAGCTTTTGGGGGGCGGGTGACTTGCTCATTCCCCCCTCATTCTCATCGGCAACAACAGTTAGGAACCATTCCTTGACTAAAAGTGATTACACTGGGTGGGGGCTGGAGAGATGATGGCTCAGTGGAAGAGCAACGGCTGTTCTTCCTGAGGACCCAGGCTTCATTCCCAGCACCCACATGGCTGCTCACGACTGTCTGTAAATCCGGTTCCAGAGGGTCTGATGCTTTCACACCAATGCACATAAAGTTAAATAATTTTTAAAAATAATTACAGTGTCCCTATAGGCCAAGGCCAATCACATTATGGGTTTCCCAGAGGGCCCAGGTATGAATTAGGAAAATGTTTTTTGTTGGGGTTTTTTTTATTTTGCCTTTTTGGCATTTGCTTTTTATTTTTGGTTTTTGAGATAAAGTCTCACTGTGTCGCCCTGGATGTTCTTGAACTTGCTACATAGACCAAGGTGGCCTCAAACTTACAGAGATCCACACATGTCTCTGAGTACTGGGATTAAAGGCCTGCTCTACTTATTCCTGACACACCTTTGCTTTTTGAAAGGTGAGCTTTCACAAACAACAGGCTCACCTCAAATGTACCAGGCAGCTGAGGATGACCTTGAACTCTCGATTTTTCTTTCTCAAGTGCAGGCTTTACAGGCATGCGTAAGGCATGCGCCATTATGCCTGACTTGAAGGGTTTTTTGTTTGGTTGGTTTGGTTAAGTTTTTTTTCTTTTTCTTTAGTTGGAAATCTGATTTATTGGGATATGATCAGTCCCTACACATGATCTGATATAAATTTATCTAGATCTGAATGTGCCAGAGAAGTCCCAAGCACTATCAAACAAACGAGAGCTCAGATCAGCACGACGGTGGGGAAAGGGAACAAGACAGGACAGGGAAGTCAAGAAAGAACAAGAGATCAATAGACAAATGGCAAATATTTGCTAAGTATCATGATGCCAAATAACACGTGTGCCAAGGTATCGCTTATCTAAGGGAGTGGGGCATGTCCCTGCCAACATGTTCCCAGAGGCTTAGCTTCTGAGGTACGAGAGCGGACAACTAGTTCAGGGTGTGACTGAGCACCTAGCGCTTGGGAGGCAGGAGAACAGAGTCTGGGAAGGGAGGGGAGGAGGGGAGGTAAGGAAGAAGGAAGGAACGAGAAAAAGGGCAGTTCAGGTCACAGCTCCCTGGCTATGTGTCTGCTCAGCTGTGAATTTGGGGCAACTTATTCAGCTGATCCCCTAAGCCTCAATGTGAGTTAATCCTCTGCTACCATGAAGAGTAAGTCGTTCTTGAATGATGTGCTGTCTCCTTGGGGGAGACATGATATTCACTCCTAAATATATGCATACGGTGAGTGGTTAATGTGGGGTCAGGGGAACTGTGGAAGATCAGAGGCTCCTTGTGGGCTCTGGTACAGAGGGCTCCCTAAGAGTCTCACTAACCAACACTAACTAGTTCTGGAAACTTTCTCGGGATGAGAGTTTGCGGGTGAGACAGTGCTACCCATATGCTCTTCCTACTGAGCTCTGACTCCATTCCAGCTTTCTGCTTGGTTTGTTCATCCATCGTAATAACACAGTGACATCAAAAGTCAGAAAACTGTTTAAGATGGTAATTTGCCAGTTTGTCAGTACTGGGCCAGAAGTTAAATCATGGCCATTTGTCCACACAGCCTGTCCATGCTGCCTAAAAGATAAAACAAGGAGATATATGCTTGTTGGCTGTTTTCACAAGAATTCACCAAATTAATTAGCCCAGCAAAGAGGTCATTTGGTATTATACCAGCCAAGGAGAGGGAGAGGGAAATCCTGCAATTATAGATACTATTGGTGGTTGGTGAAAAATGGCTGTAAAAGCACATTGTGAGGATAAATTAGACTATTGTCAGGGAAACTTGTTCGGCAGTGTGAACAAGGTGAACATATATGTGACCCATGGTTTCACCGCATCACAAACACTCCAAAGAGAGCATACACTCAATAAAAATTTTCAATAACATTCATAGCAATGTTAATACGTTGGCTCCAAGACAGACACTTCAAGATGACCACCAATAGTGAGATGAATAGAGTGACGTGCTGTTGTATAATGGAATGCTATACAACAAAGAAGGATTGCTGCTCACGGCATCAGGGAAGAAATCGCACAAACAAAAATGAAACTTGGTTTACATAAAATTCCCAAGCAGGAAAGCAAGGTGAGGTGTCTTAGAAGTGAAGATGAGATTGCTCTTAAGTACAACATTTATTGACTGGGAAAATGCATGCTGCAGGCAGTTTTCGGCTACCACTAATTTCTGAATCTGACAGGTGGTTTTGCTTTTTGATATTTCATTAAGATCAGGTTGTGTACTTATAGCAATCCACTTTCTGTTGTTATTTTATGTGTACGGGATTTTTATCTGCATATGTGCCTGTGTACCTATCATGGACATGCCTGGTGCATCTGAAGGCCAGAAGAAGGTGTCAAATCCCCTGGAGCTGGAGTTAGAGACAGTTATAAACTACCTTGTGGATGCTGGGGATTGAACTTGGGTCCCCTGGAAGAACAACCAATGTTCTTAACCACTGTGCCTTCTCTCTAGCCCTGGTATCACATGCACGTTTGTTTTTGTTTGTCTGAGACAGGGTCCCAATCTGCGTCCCAGGCTGGACTGGAACTCTCTTATGTAGATGAGGCTGGCTTTGAACTCATAGCAATTCTCCTGTCTCAGCCTCCCTCTCAAGTTCTGGAATTACAGGAGTGCACCACCATACGCTTTTCTCTACATCTGTTATATAACAATGAAGATGTTAATAAAGCATGAGCTGTCATGGAAACAGGCTATTAAGGGAGCACACAGAAGGGACATCTTACCCAACTTAGGGATCAGGCATTGGGGCTAAATTCAGACCCTTTAGGTAGGGTAGCTGGGAAAGCTACTGCGATGTCTAGGTGGAGGGGGCCTATGAAAGTGAGGCAGATAGAAGGGCATCATGTGAAGGCTGGCAGTGATGATGGGGGCATGGTGGTGATGATGGTGGTGGTGATGGTGGGAATGGTGGTGGTGGTGAGGGTGGTGATGGTGGTGGTAGGGGGTAGTGGTGGTGATGGTGGTAATGGTGGTGTTGATGGTGGTAATGGTGGTAATTAATGGTGGTGTTGATGGTGGTGATGGTGGTGGTAGTGGTGATGGTGGTAGTAGTGATGGTGTTGATGGCGATGGTGATGGTGGTAGTGGTGTTGGTAATGATGGTGGTGGTGGTGATGATGGTGGTGGTAGTGATGGTGTTGATGGCAATGGTGATGGTGGT